AGATCAACAGAATAAAACTGAAAGTCCAGAAATAATCTTGTACATTTACGGTCAACTGATTTTTGACAAAAGTTCCAAAACAATTCGATGAGTAAAGGACAGTCTCTTCAACAAATGGCACTGCAGGAACCAGATATCCCATGCAAACAAAAACAAAAACAAAAACAAAAACAAAAACAACTCAACAAAACCTTGGTCCCCTATTTCACAAAAATGAGTTCAAAATGGGTCACATACCTAAATGTAAGGTCTAAAATTAGAGGGATGCCTGGGTGGCTCAGTGGTTGAGTGTCTGCCTTTAGCTCAGGTCATGATCCCAGGGTCCTGGGATCGAGTCCTGCATCGGGCTCCCTGCAGGGAGCCTGATTTTCCCTCTGCTTGTGTCTCTGCCTCTCTGTGTCTCTAATGAATAAATAAATAAAATCTTTAAAAAGGGGGGGGAGGATCAAAGAATTTGAAGAGACATTTCTCCAAAGAAGATATACAAATAGCCAGTAAACACACGAAAAGATGGTCAACATTATTAATCTTTAGGGAAATACCAACCCAAACTACAATGAGATAACACTTTATACCCACTAGAATGGCTAGAATCAAAACAGACAACAAAAAGTGCTGACAAGAATGTAATATGGAGAAACTGGAACCGTCCTATTAGGGAACTGCCAATGGGAATAAAAAATGGTGCAACCATACTGGAAAACAGACTGTTCCTCAAAAAATTTAAGAGTTACCATATGACCTAGCAATTCCACTCCTAGGTATACAGCAAGAGAAATGAAAATATATGCCTACTCAAAAACATGTACACAAATGTTCACAGCAGCATTATTCATAATAACTAAAAAAGAGACACTCATATGTCCATCAACTGATGAATTTGAATAAAGAAACTAGAACATTATTTGGCAACAAAAAAGAATTAAATACTCTACAAGTTACAAAATGGATGATGTCTGAAAGCATTACGGTAAGTGAAAAGCCAGTTACAAAAGACCACATATTATATGGATCCATTCTACATCTAGAACAGGCAAGTCCCTTAAGAAAGAGAATAGATTAGTGGGGTTACATGGGCCTAGGGTGGGACTGGGGATGGGGAGTGGTGGCTAAAGGGTGAAGGGTTTCTTTATGGGGGGATGAGAATATTCTGAAATATTAGGTTATGGTGATGGTTGTTGCACAAGATACAGAGAACCACTGAAGTGCTCTCTTTAAGTGGATTTTATGGTAAGTTAGACTACATTTTAATAAAGCTACAAAAAATAAGGAATTAATAAAAAGGTACTACATCTCCTCTGTCTGGTTATTTCCAGTAGGTGCCACCCCCATTCTTCCCAACTCCCCCTCTTTATGCCTGCTTCCTCCCCATTAGCTACTGACCTCCTCTCCAGCCCATCACATCACTGCAGCCCTCCAGAGGGGGCCAACCTTGTAAGCAACACTCAGTCAGGGGAGTGGCTGAGCAGTGTCCCCAAACTACAGACTTGGCCATCCTCCCCTCAGAAAGCTTACCTTAATAACTTAAGCAGTGAAACAGCAGAACAGGAGTTCCAAGTTACCAAACCCTGGGATAAGGGGTAACTACAGCGAATAGCTCCCAAATGCTCCCTAGGTTTCAAAGTGTGAGGTGCACCAACACCACTTTTATTGCTTCAGAAGCAGGTAGCTATTACTACACTTACTCTGACATTTAGTATTCATTAGGTACCTGCTGTGTTCCAGATGCTGGTCATATTGCAGTAAGTCAGAAAGACAAAAAGATTTTAAAGACCTCTTAATCATGGAACTTATAAACAAAATAAGATAAATGACTAAAGCCTAAAGAATGTCAATTGGTGACAAGTGCTATGAAGAAAAAACAGGAAATGATGAGAAGGGAACATGGGGGAGAAGGGAGGTTACAATTCAAAGTATGATGGCCCCTCGGATGGGCCCTTTGAGTGAAGACTTAAAGGAAGGCAGGGTCGTGGCACATGCTATCTGGGAAAGAGGATTCCTGGCAATGGTGTCAAGTGCTCAAGTCCCAACGCAGGTACCGGTATCGGTATGTGCAGGAAAGACCAAGAGGCCCAAATGGGAGAGTGGTGGCGGCTCAGTTGAGATGAGAGGTGGCCCAATCCTATTAGAGGTCACATAAAGGCCTTCTTTCTGTCTTCCTCAGGGAACACAGAACTGCTGGAGGAACTGCTGGAGGTGTTTAGCAGAGTGAGGAAAACAATGGCTGGAGACAGAGCCTGGGCCCTTCTGTCCTATCACCTCTGGGTAAGAACTGACTGTTCCAAGGGCAAACATCTGACCCAAAGGAACTGGACCAATCACTGATGAAGCCAATCAAAATTCATCTCCTCTCCAAAATCTGACCTAAACACAAGAGGTTGAATTAGCCACTGTGTGGGACTTACACAGTGATAGAGCGCCAAGGTTAGGACAGCTACTTCCCTGCCAATGTCCACCTGACCAGAAGCCAGCCTGAAATTTAATGCTGCAAACCCAAAGGGAATAGAGACAAGAAAAGGCAGCCCCAGAGAAGGGGGCAGTGAGGGGTGGGAGGAGAGGAACCTGCCGCAGAGGACAGGGATCCATGGGACTCTGCAACCTCCCAATCAATCTCCTGCCTTGGCTTCTTAGTGTAGGTTTCTCATCCTTATGATCAAAATCCCTGGCGTAGACAGGGAGCTATATTTTGTTATCCAAGTACCACACGTGGGACTGAAAAGGCTGTCTGCTCATGGCTCTAAGGTTAACCCAGGAACTCCTGAGAGAAAGGACAGGCCATAGAGAGGGGCAGCTGGAGACCATGGTCTTCCACCCAACCCCGCTTTCCACAGCTGTTGTTGGGAATATTATACAATGCCCATAAGCAAAAACGTATCAGAATTCAGCAAGGTGCAATTTCAGTTACTTCATCCTTTTTTAAATTTCCTCATGTGTCAATATCAATGGCAGAACTTTCAGAATATTCTGCAAGGCTAAAAAAATACATCTAGTGATATTAGGTTGTTACTCTTTTAAAACAAAGGTAATTAAGCTGTGAAATATTTGCTTTGAGTAAACTAGGTTCTGGGTATTTGAAGGTCCTGGAAGCTGTTACCACAGGCAGGCTGCAGTTTTGTTCCTTGTGGGCAACAGGGCCAGAGCTAACTGCTGTCCGCCCCCAGCTTCATCCTGGGCAGCATGCCAAGACACCAGACAATTCCCTGGAGAAAGGTAGTGATTAATGCTTCTCTGTCAACTCTAGACTGAACTTGTTCTCAATGGCTGCTTCTGATCTGAAGCGGAACAGAGAAAGGCAGAATGATCATAGAAAGGGCTCTCAGCCACCACAAGCAGCAGCAGCCAGAAGTGGTCTGCAGTAATGTACCCACTACGTGGGACTCCGAAGCTGCTCATCTCTCATTAGGTTGTAAATACCACGACCCCAATACAAGCTCATCTCCTGTGAAGTCACCAGTTTATTGAACATGTCAAGTGAAGGTTTCCATAACTACTGACAAAAATGCACCACTCCTACAGCACTCCAAAGACATGAACTAACCAAGGCTCCCTGTCACCCTTGGAAATGGAATGCACCTCAGATGTTCTCTTAATATCTCGGCTAAAGCTGGGGAAGTGGCAGGGATTAAAATCTCAGCCCTTGTCCTCCACAGGACCTCTTCATGCTAGTAACTCTTATCAGGTCACAATCAGGTCATAATTTTCTTAGGAATTAGAGTTAAAAAAATACCCACCATGTTCCACCTGTAGCAGTTTCAAAATAAATCTTTCTTCATGGCATGAAGGTTAGTACTAATCTTATGTGGTCATCTGGTTTTCTTACCCTTCTTTTCTCTTTATCGCCATTTCCCTTTACAACAATTTCAACCCTGCATCCCTGCTGCGTGTTTTTGTAAGAACTTGAAAGCCAAGCAATAAATATACTTCTCAAATAGGACAGAAGAATCTAGAATCATTCCAAATCACCCAATGATTACTTGCTGAATGTCTGTTTTACCCATTAGGCAGCAAGTCAGCGAGAGAAAAAGAGTGAACACACAAACGGATGAACCAATGAATGAATAAACAGGTTTACTGTTGAATTAGCTGAAGGGCACAAAGCTCTTAGTGTGGCAGAGATACAGGGGGTCCTTGGGTGGTCTGTAAACTTTCTAGTAGACAATAATCTCTTTTCAGAAGCAACAGGAATGGCTTTCGGATCTCCCTGTGGGATGGCTTACTCACAGGCAGAGCTAAGTTATCTAAGTGCACACAATAAAAGGTGAGAATGGGTTCCATGTTAATCTATTTCCCAAATGAGATCTGACCTAAATAGTCCCTAAAATTTTAAGAATCTAAGATTATAAATTTTTATATCTTATCTGAGTCTTAAAGTGCAGATATGGGGATCCCTGGGTGGCGCGGCGGTTTGGCGCCTGCCTTTGGCCCAGGGCGCGATCCTGGAGACCCGGGATCGAATCCCACATCGGGCTACCGGTGCATGGAGCCTGCTTCTCCTTCTGCCTGTGTCTCTGCCTCCCTCTCTCTCTCTCTCTCTCTCTCTGTGACTATCATAAATAAATAAAAATTAAAAAAAAAGTTTAAAAAAAATAAATAAAGTGCAGATATGTCCACGTTGTGTGTGAATATCTTACACATTACTGACACAAAAATCACAAAAGAGAAGGCAGTAATACACAGCATGTCTTCCTATACAGGTATTCACACAGGATATATGTGTCCATCAGATCTTATTAATGTCATTAAAATCTTTGCACAGAATCAACAACAGGAAACCTGGACATTTATTGGTTTTGAATGTGATTTTATAACTGACTTTCAGTGGGGACTGTGGAATGGACTTCACACCCTCTTTTGGGAGATCCATTATGTATTCTTCCAAAACAACAAAGACAACCTTGAAGGCGAAGATGTAGTTTCCCTAAGGTAGCTGGTAAGACTCTCTGCTTACCATCTCTGCCAGCGAACTACAGAATTGCTGCAGTCATCATGAAGGCACTCACCAGGGTGACAATGGCACATTCAGCTGTCAGCTGAGCAGCACTGAACAGTGTCCGAACAAACCGGTAAATCTGTTTCTGCTCGGGGTTGTGTTTGTCATAATCTGGTGGCACTTCGGATTTCTGGGGAAGGAAAGAGTTTCAGATGACTGGCCACCCAATAAAAACAAAAGAGAAATAATTAAACAACATCAGGAGGAGATTACCGAAAGAGGGTGAAGGTTTTCATCGAAAATATCTAAGAGCATCCTTCCATCTGGGTCCCTGGTGGGGAAAATAAGAGACAATAGAGTTTACTTTCTGCAAGAATGTCATTCAAAATAAGATAAAAATATATTTTGATTTGACATATTTCAAGAAACTAAAGTCAATGTTAAATGTAGGAGATGCTATTGGTTATCCACAAGTAATTTTCTTATGTATAATATTTAATCATTTTTGTTTGAACAGTCTATGAAACAAAGGTTATAAACCACATTTAGTTGAATTAACCTAAGCAAAAATATTGAGATTTTCATTTTCTGAGTATTCAAATGAACCAAACCTAAGCAAGTGACAAACTTCTTTAAACATTTTGCTTATCAGCAAAGGCGGATGGATATGCTTAAACCATCCCTATACAGTAGTTGAATGGAAAGAAGTTTGATAAAAATGAACATTCAGGATGTTCTAGAAACTAATTTGGAGTTTTCAGAACATACAACTTAAACACTTTGTTAATTAAGAGTTTCACAATTTTATGTTGAAAAACAAGAGTTGGTGTGTAGAAAAGCTTAACTCAGTAACCCATAAACCTATAAAAGAACGGTTGGTTGATACTAGGCCAGAAAATGTCATTTAACGTGGTGACAGTACCTTGAGCTTGGTTGGGCTCTACAGAGATGAACTGCACACTTCACCAGCAAAGCTCTGCTTTCATCTGTTTTATGTCATTTGACTTCTGCCTAAAAATGGTTCTTTAAAAACCAAATTTGGAAACTGGTGCTTTGGTAACAGCATATAAATTCCATAGTCTGTGCTTCCGAAGTCTATTAGGCTTGTGAATATCAAAAGGGTATAGACCTGTCCCTAACATATACCTTTCATAGTAAACAACACAATTTCTGCTCTATAAATTTACTGCCTGCATAAAAATAATATAGAAAAAAGAGCTTAAGGGGATCCTTGGGTGGCTCAGCGGTTTAGCGTCTGCCTTTGGCCCAGGGCACGATACTGGAGTCCCAGGATCGAGTCCCGCGTCGGGCTCCTGGCATGGAGCCTGCTTCTCCCTCTGCCTGTATCTCTGCCTCTCTCTATATATATGTCTATCATGAATAAAAAAATAAATAAATCTTTTAAAAAAAGAAAAAAGAGCTTAATTGAACAGCTAAGTTTTTATTATTCTATTTATACAACAGGAATTATTTTTAAAGCTTTGGGCATTCATACCTGTGTTCATTTTCACTAGCCTATGGGAATACAGCCAATAAAGCTTTAGATGAGCTGTAGTAAAAGAAAGGACTAGGTAGGACCTGATAACAGGGTCTGAAAACAAAAATAGCTCCTTCTGGGTGCACTCAGTTATACTTCCTTTTATAATGACCTGGTTATGAAGAACCAGTTGGTTCTCATCTCACTAACAACCTCTGCAAGATATTTGAGGTGCTGGATAAAAGACAAAACCTGGCCCTGCACCCCATTTTCTTGGGCAGTTCAGCTCTGATCAATATTCCTGATGAATAACAGACCCTTAAAGCCATTCAGCATTCCAGAGAAATACTCATCAGAAGTAAGTTTAAAAATAAAAACATAGGATGAAAAATATAAAATGAGGATTAAGAATTTAAGCTAAAATGACTCTGGAAGAAAATTGACTCCTCTGAGAAATGAATTTTCCTTTCACTTTCATTGAAAGCTATGTATCCCAGGGCACCTGGGTGGCACAGTTAGTTAAGCATCCCACTCTTGGTTTCAGCTCAGGTCATGATGTCAGGGTCCTGGGATCGAGCCCCACTTTGGGCTCCACACTCAGCATGGAGTTTGCCTGAGATTCTCTCTCCTTCTCCTGCCCCTCCCACTAGTTTTCTCTCTCTCTCAAATAAATACACAAATATTTAAAATATAATAAAAGGAAAGAAAGCTATGTATCCCAGAGGCAGGCACCAAGGTGGCTCAGTTGGTCAAGCGTCCAACTCTCAAGTTTGGCTCAGGTCATGATCTCAGGATTGTGAGATCGAGCCCCATGTCAGGCTCTGCACTGGGTATGGAGCCTGCTTCAAATTCTCTCTCTCTCTCTCTCCCCAACACCCCCACCCCTGTGCATGCCCTTGAAAGCAAGCAAGCAAGCAAGCCGGCTAGCTATGTATCCCAGCTGAGTAGCAGCCTCTCTATCAAGCTACTGTATCTACCACCAGCTCCAGAAGTGAGGCCAGTATGACTGATCAAGAAGAAAATCTACAGAGTCATGCCACCTCTTCCCAAAGATCTTCAGGTTATAATCTATGGATTTATCATGCTTGTTTCTAAACACTTGCTTTTTTAGTTAGATTTTCTCCACTTTAACTCACTAACTTTTGGTCAATTTATCACCATTAACCCACTAGATTATATGATTAAAAGTCTCAGTATATTGTTTGGGTTCAATCCTCAATTCCCCAGTTCATTAGCTGTGCTATCTTAGGCAAATTATTTAATATCCCCGTGCCTCAGTTTCTTTACCTCTAAAATAGAGATAACGTATCACATCATGGTACTGTTTTTAAAAATAAATGAGATAATGCGGGGATCCCTGGGTGGCGCAGCGGTATGGCGCCTGCCTTTGGCCCAGGGCGCGATCCTGGAGACCCGGGATCGAATCCCACGTCGGGCTCCCGGTGCATGGAGCCTGCTTCTCCCTCTGCCTATGTCTCTGTGCCTCTCTCTCTCTCTCTCTCTCTCTCTCTCTCTCTGTGACTATCATAAATAAATAAAAATTTAAAAAAAATTTTAAAAAAATAAAATAAAAATAAATGAGATAATGCATATAAACAGCTGATCAGGGTAGTCAGTGCTTAATAAAGCTGGCTCTTATTATTACCAGTTATGGCGACAAAATAACTTTGAGATCCACTGCAGTCTAAGAACTGAGAAATCACTTAGAGATGCTAATGCAAAATTGGTCTGAAAGAACATCTGAGTTTCACTAATGGTATTACGTTGTTATTTAAGACTTACATGTTTAAAAGTTTGAACTGTTGAGAAATGGGCAGCAAGACAAAAATTTGCACTTTCACTGATACACTATTCTGGTCAAGGTTCAAAGTTCCACAATGCTACATTTTCTAAATTCTTAAATCTAAATTCTCAAACCCCACAATGAACTATGAATCACAATTACAATGCAGAAAAAGGTCATTACAGGGAATACCTTTCCAGGTGTTTGTGTTTTCTCATAACACTGTTCATCAGAAGTTCCCCTTCGCTGACCTACCACAACTCTCCAATTGCCCCTTTGGTAAACAGACTAAAGGTGATGTAGCCCCCACCCATTGAGATCCATGCTAACCAAGAGGTGGCTGTGCTTATTCCCAGAACTGGTTCATATTTATTGTTATATAACATATGAAAATGTCACATTAATCAATGAAATTTGACTACAATGAGTGGCTTTGTTCTTATGAAAATGAAGAAGGAATGCTTTGCAAAGAGCCAATAAAAGGTTATCACCAACAATAAATTTGCTATAGATTATGTATGGTCAAAACCCGAAAGATTCTACACTTAGATTATTTTGTAAATGTCTTTTGTTTTCTATTGATTAAAAAAAAACTATATATATGTGGAAAGGATGAATTACAGGGGTGGCTTATAAAATAAAGTCACTTTAGTACTCTAATCAGTGCCCAATGTTGAAAGCAAAAGTTCGATGCATAAAAAATTGGCAATGAATGTACTTTTAAACATTTATGTTGAAATAAATTGTTTGAGGCAAATTTTTAAAGTGGTTTTTCCATGATTCCGTTTCAATTGACTTCTTAAATTAACTAAGTTTGTCTCTAAACACACTTATATCAGACAGAAGTCTATTTCTACATGAGTTTATGTCTAAATTTACACCAAAATTTCTTCTACTAACTTAAAACTATAAACATTTTTTCTCATGTTGACGTTGCACACAGTAAAATTTTAAAATAATATTTTATAAAAGAAAGACTGTTTAAGCAAATTATACAGAAAATCATCGAGGTGCCTGAGTGGCTCAGTGGTTGAGAGTCTGCCTTTGGCATAGGGTGTGATCCCAGGATCGAGTCCCACATCGGGCTTCCTGTATGGAGCCTGCTTCTCCCTCTGCTTAAGTCTCTACCTCTCTCTGGGTTGCTCATGAATAAATAAATAAAATCTTAAAAAAAAAAAATCAAAAGTGAAAAGGGAGCTGAGCATTATCAAGAAGATTTGTTCTAAGGGGTGGTGGAAAGAGAGGTGGGTAGGGGTTTGGGGTGACTGGGTGATGGACACTGAGGGGGGCACTTGACAGGATGAGCACTGGGTGTTATGCTATATGTTGACATTGAACTCCAATTAAAAAATATACAAAAGAATTTAAAAAAAAAAGATTTGTTCTGTTTTACGGACTTCAAATACAAATACCCATTTGGTTTCCTCTGCTTGAGAAGCAGTTCAGGACTTACCTGGTAAGTTCTCGTAAAATTACGTGAACTCTAGAAATTCCATGAAAACATGAGTAAAGAGTACAAAGACTGAAGCAACTAGGACATAATAGGAAAAAAATAGGAAAAACATAACAGGAAATAACGTGTAACATTTTTAGCACAAAATTAATCATCCACATACCTGTTTTTGATGTGGTAATATATTGCAAGAGCTACACTGTAAAATAAAATGCAGAGTTCAACGTTTTGTAAGCATGCATATTCAACATGTTATATCATCTGTCTGACCATAAATATTTAAACTTAAGTCAAATAATCCACCTGAACCCATTTAATTCAGAATACTGATCAAGTATTCTTCATAGCAAGTCAATCTTGTACTCAATCCCAGCAATCATTAAATCTTTTCCAGAAATACCAAAATTTCAAGAAGTATTTAGAAACAAATTCTCTTTCTACTCAAAATTTTACGCTTTCTTCACTTGTAAAATACAGGCACTATGTGAAACAGGTAGTGCAAATCAAACATCATTGGAAATTTCCAACTTAGTACCTCCTAGTCTAGAAAAAACTGTGGCTTATTTATAACTACCAGAAAAAATGTGAGCATCACCTACAGTGGTTTGCTATTTTTTTCTCTTAAATCAATAACCTCTCGGCAATCCACTTACCTTATTCATACACTTGTTGAACTAACTGTAACTCGTAGTTAAAATTTTATTTTACATTTTAAAAGATCTGAATTTAATGAAGACACTCCCCTCACCTGAATACTTTTTCTCAAATAATGTTTTTCTGACTTTAAAAAAATGCATTATATTCATATTGTAGAACTTTTGGAAAATACAGTAAGTATATTAAAAAAAAAGTAAACGCAAAAAAAAAAAAAAGTAAACGCTGGGCAGCCCAGGTGGCTCAGCAGTTTAGCACCACCTTCGGCCCAGGGCGTGATCCTGGAAACCCGGGATCGAGCCCTGCATCGGGCTCCCTGCATGGACCCTGCTTCACCCTCTGCCTGTGTCTCTGCCTCTCTCTGTGTGTATCTCTCATGAATAAAAAAACAAAATCTAAATAAACAAACAAACAAATAAATAAATAAAAATTTAAAAAGTAAACTCTTTGCCCAAAGATGACTACTACTTTTGAGATATATAAATATCTATTCCTATTGATAAATTTTATGTGTAAACAGGTTTGTGTATTACTTTTATCTTACCACTAAAATATGCTTTAAAACCATGATTCCAAATGGCTGATTATATTCCACTGTAGAGTTGCTGAATAATTACCTAATCCCCTGCTTTACTGAACACTTGTTTCTAATATTTTGCAATTATAATTAACACCATATTGATATCCTCATGGATAAAGATTTGTGCAACCTGGGACTATATTATTTCTATAAGAAAACAATTACAGAATGTTTTCTGTATTAATTAAAGTCATTAATAATTGTAAGGCTCCCCACATACACTGGCAACTATTTTGCAGAAGTGTGCCAGTGTTCTTCCCCATCAGTCTGTTGCAACCTCACCCTTTGCTGACATTTACCTTAAATACTCCGAAAAAATGTCCTCCAATCGGAGAGGTAAATTAAGTACTTGTTTCAACTCAGGTGAGTTCCTATGATCACCTGTCAAGTTGGCAGGGTTATTCATGTTAACTGGCCAATAATACTTTTTAAATTTCCTCTTCTGTAAACTGTCTAAATCATTCCACTATTTTTGTTTCACTTTAAAATTTATTGAAGAGAACAAAATGTATTTTTTAAGCTTCTAAGACTATTACTTATTCACTGTATCAGATTGTGTTCTGGGTACTCAGAGCACAGAAACTGCCATCCTGGCATCAACATCCAGGTAGAGGGCTCAGTCCTAAACATTTCAGCTTACTCAGCGCTGGATTCCAAAGAGCTCAGAGGCTCGCCTATGACTTCCTATGACAATACAAGAACCTCTTGTCTCTAGACCTATTCATCATATGATTTCAGCTAAGTGTTAAACATCTTCATGAGCAATGGCAATATGTTCTTCTCCTCCTAACAGCTTCAAGAGCGTCTAAGGTGAAGGAATTATAACTGGAGTAAAAGGTCTTCAGAATTAAAAAATAATAATACTATCTTCAAGCATACATTAACAGTCCTGTGAAGAAAGAAAGCAGGCTATCAACTTATTCTTAAATGAGAAAAATTCAGATTCAGATACTGGATACCAGGATCTCTGACTGGTATAGAGGTTTGTTTAATTCATTTAACAGGCATGCTGTGATGACTGTTTTCTATTCTAATGTCAGATTTAAATTGATGTTTCATGACTGTGTTTGGTGTAGTAACTAGCTTAGTCACTTGGGACTGAGAAAGAAGATGCCTTCTTTGTGAGGGAGCATGACACACGAAAAATATCTCTGGGCTGGGAGTCAGAACAACCTGGGTCTAAAACCTGGCTCCTAGGAGCACCTGAGTAGCTCAGTTGGTTACACATCTGCCTTCAGCTCAGGTCAGGATCCCAGGGTTCTGGGATCAAGTCCCACACTGGGCTCTCTGCTCAGCAGGGAGTCTGCTTCTCCCTCTTCCTCTCACATTTGTGCTCACTCTCTCTGTCACGCTCTCTCTCTCAAATAAATATTTAAGATCTAATAACTAAAGCAAAACAAAAAAAACCCACCTCCTTCATTTATTAGAATTCAATCACCTCTGAACCTACATTTCCTCATCTATAAAATTAGGACTATTCAACCTATATTAGAGAACCGTTTTTATAACCAAACGAAATATATAAAAGTGAAAGTTCTAAAACAAAAGTCATTATTATGGTTATTATATAATAATTATAACAATTATAATTCCATCCCAAGAGGTGCTTTGCTTCTGCAAATTGAATGAAAATCTTGAGGTCCCCAAAGTCACTATCCTCTGAATCTCCTGAGCCAAAAGCAAGGTTGGACATTATCATGACCTTAAACCTTCAGGAAAAATAGAGCCACAATGTAGGACAATTTCCACTCAAGGTTATATCCCAAGAAGTAAGAAAACAAAGCTCAGAATTCACATATAGTGTAGCTCCATGGCCAGTTTAGTTGGTTATCTTGAAAGAAGTGACTGCTCGGGGCAAAGAGCAGTCAGTGGAAACCAGTCCCACACTTTGGGCTTCAGAGGCCTAGTTAATTCTGCTACGTCCTCAGAAAATGGTGAGATCGTACCAAAGATGGGCTGGAGTCAAACCAGAAGTACATTTGGAATAAAGGGTTTGCTCAACTGCTTTTGCCATATAGCTGGGAATAAAGAAATGTTTTCTTGACGAAGAAAACAAAACAGACTTGTGACTGCTGGCCCTCTATGTGACCTCTTAGCTAGAGCCAACCTAGCAAAGCATGCAACAAATCCTCAAACCTTTGAAGACCAAGAGGTGGTGTGTTCTGGTAGCACAGAGAAGCTGAACCAGAGGTTTGGAGGCAGGTGGGTAAAGCAGCTGCTCTCCAACACTCAGGGCCCAAGGACCATGGCAATTTAGTCAACAGTGTGAATGGGGCTACCCCCCGGCCCTCCACCCTGTTCTCTAATCTCATTCCTATGCCTGTCACAGAATCTTGGATAGGGGGAATGGAGATAAGCTGCAGAGGCATGGGGGTTGGTTTGCAAATGCTAAATTCATACCACAGCTGTTGGCATTTAGGGGAAAGATGGGAAAATCAAGTTCTCAAAAAAGAAATTTTGCCCATGAAAAGAATGAGCACAGAATGCCCAAACTTGTTATACTTAAAACTTTTCATTTACTGTTAGAACAGCAGTCAACCCTCCATGCATTCCTCAACTAGAATTTGTAAATATGTTTGTTCATTTTGGCAACCCACAATTTACAGAAGGGTTTTCTTTTAAAAATTTGGTTAGAAATCGATGTTTAGAACTCAGAGGATATTCTTGAAGAAACAGGGATTCATGCTTGTTTTCAGGAAGCAAGTTCAGCCTACAGATACTCACCATGTGCACAGTGAAGCTCAAGAATATTCATGGTTTTGATATTTTTAATGTCTTGGGGGAGAGGACCAAGAAAAGGGCTTGGATTTAGGGAAAGCAGAAAAAGCAAAAAAGGAGACCAGGAGTTTCCTTTTGATAGGCAGAGGATAAGTTTTAGCACAACTTAAGAACAGAAGGGCACCCGGATTTAGCTTCTTCCGAGTATCCCCTTCCCCTTACACCATCATAGACCCTGGCTAAAGCTCACCCAGCCTGCTAACATCTTGAAATGTTCCTTACTCCTTGGCTCCTTGATTATAACCCAGCCAAGTGTGAGATACAGGCATTTACAGGGAAGGATTCTGATGGTACTACTTTAGTTAGGGTCTACCCTGCTACCAGGCTCAAAATACACATTTTTAAAAACAGGGCACTTCTTAAAATAAATGAACCACTGACTGAAGGAATTTCAGGTGGCACAAAGAAAGTGTCTTTCAGATCAGGTAAGTCATAGTATCTACACTGAATGTTTTGTTTCAATAGTCTACTCGTTAACTGGGCCAGCTTTTCAGCTTTTTCCTCCATGTATTAACCTATAATTTAAAAGTTTCACATGAACTCTGATGGGGAAGGGGAAAGCAAGTGTCAACTTACACCAGGAGTTGTCACCCTTGGCTGCCTACTAGACTCTCCTAGGGAGGGTGTCAAAAATCCAGACACCAGATCTGTAGGGCAGGACATCAAACATCAGCATGCCTTCCAGCTCCCAGAGGACTCAGGGTGTAGCCAGGGCTTGGAACCACTGATTTGCACAGCAGCACATTTATAAACTTAAGTGACACTGAAATATCAAAGTGCTAACCAGTTTTCCCATCAGGCTCCTAAATGTCTATGTCACAACCAGTGGCAATTTTAAGTTATCCAAGGGTGAAGTGTTGAGCGACTGAGTCGGATCCATTTGTAAAGCCCAAGAGCTCTGGCTGGCCCTGAAAGCGAAGGTGCCCTCTGCTCCACTTGGCCTCCCTTCCTGCTGAAGAGGATCCCAGAATTAAAGAGAAGTTAGCAGCTTTCATTCTGGGGTCTCTGGAACTTGTGCAGATGTCAACAGTCGCATGGTATATATATCTTCAGGGCTTTCCACTCCTCTCCACAATTACTAATGATTTACTCTAGGAAATACTTCCAAGAGGTACTGTACTTCCTATTTTGTGGCAGTAAACTCTGGCCCAAAGGCAGGAAGTGGCTCAGTCAAGGTTATGTAGAGCAGTAACATGCAAACCTCTTCTGAGCTCTAAACATGGACTGTCTGGGTCTATGTCCCCTTGTCATTTATCAAGCCCTTAAATGCCACAATAATAAGGGAAGAAGCTACATTTCTAGTTAGATCTTAGAAAATGTGCAACTGTTCAGGAGAGAAGGCAGCTTCCCTCAAGTGGGCCATCTTCCATCTCGCCCCGGGAGTGGATGCTGTCCAGGAGTGGATGCTGTCCACAGAAGACTGATCCAGTCCCTGCTGCCTGACCAAGACTGTGATTTATTGTCACATATGGTCATACTCAGAAGAGGGCTTCTAAGCCTGAAAACATGGCCCACTGAAATGAAAGAATATTTCCTATTTAGAAATTTAAACACGTACATCATACACAAACTTAGACTGCTGTTAAATGTGTAATTTCTTGAACACATATAGCACATCACGTTTTCTGTGATCTCTGTCAAAGGCCATTATTATCACAATGCTAATGGGAACATTTCAAAAAAAAGTGTTTCTTCTCTCCTACCTTCCATTTTAAATTAAGGAAACTAAAACCCAAAAAGGAAAGGATTTTATCCAAAGACCCCTCTTCCCCCTGTAAACCCCACTTTAAAACAAAGTTCCAAAGAGAAGGGTCTTACCCCAAACCTTCCCTGTTGTTGAAACAGCCAAGATCAGAGCTCAGATCTCCTGATTCTGGGCAAACACATTTTTACTGTCAGGCCTGCTTCCTACTGTAGCCCTGGGTCTTAAATGGGACCACAGAAGCCCTGCCTTATTTCAAAGGTAAAATATTAGTAGAGTAATTCTAGGATGGCTTTAATAAAAAGTGGGAAGGTAGAAAATATGCATAGAAATCAAATAATGTTTTCATCTACATTTAAAATAATTTTTAAATTTGGCGTTTTATGTAAATGGTAATGTGCACAAATATTTGAACACTTCACATTTAAACCAAAATCACATTTTAAAGAGATTTCCTCAATAGTCAATGGCCTCCTTCAGCCCAATCTTACCACTCAGACCCCACAACCAACCAGTTAGCTGTCAGGTTAAGGAACAGAAAAAGCATTCAGTTAGGCAAAAATGCATATACCTACCATTTAATTGTATACTTGAGGTTTGGTTGACTGACTGTGCTATCATCTAGGAAAATAGTGGAGCAGGAGCTGTATTTCCTCGCTATTTGTCCTGGAGGATGCTAGAAAACAAGGGCAATAAGACAAGAACAATTAAATGGGACTCAAAATTCTTCCAAGAAACACCATCCCCTTAAACTTGGGATCAGACCACAGAGGAAAAATGTCTTACACAAGAAATTTTAATACTACCTGCAAGAACAGTACAAACACACTTTCTTCATACAATGAAATCCCTCCTACATGTACAAGTCACCAGCACTGCTAGTCCCAAACCTCCTTCCCTGGGAGAACAGCACTCTCCTTGCAGAGTCCACACAAATCACCCAGCCTGGGGCCTGTGTGAAACAAGAAGTACATCCTTGTTACACCAGTGAAAGCCCCTTATTAAGGCAGCATCTTGGTTTTATGCATCAAAATGAAGGCAAGAGACAACTGTACCCATTCTCCCTATCCCTGAGGTACAGCTGATTTGGAGGCCATGGAAAATGCAGCCAATGTAAATTTAGATCTCCTGGTTAATCAGCTTGAATTTCAGGAGGCGAAGTTATAAAGACAAAAGTATTGCTTTGCTAGGGGCAAAATACATTTTAAAGAGGAAGACTATCTGATAATTTTGAAAATACAATCCCTGGATGACCTTCAGGTAGTGCCTGCTCCATCTTATGACTGGTTCTTTCACAAATGTATAACTGTTGAGCTCTCTGAGGCACCTGAGAACTGAGAACTACTTTTGAAAGGTACTGGTAAAGAATACAGAATTTATATTATGCACTGATGACATCTAATTGAATACTAAGTAGATTTTTGGCAATATGTGGGTGATATGATTAGTAGACATTGCTCCGGATAATTCTTATTCAAAAGCAAGTTAGGGGAAAAAAATAAAATAAAATCACCCAAACAAGCTTCCATTTACCTGGTGCTATGTTGACCATCTAAGTGGCATTTTCAGCGACTAATCCAAATGATCTCTTTAGGGCTAATAAAATTGCCTGCCTCAACTGCGCACTTGCAACAAAATCCTCAGTGTTTACACTTTACTAATGTAAAGGAAGCCTTAAATAGAGACCAAATGCCCCATTCCACACTTTAAAATATACTTGTTTAAAAAGGTTTCCTCTAAATTAAGTTATGAAAACAGGCAGTAGCCTGAGAAATACAAAAAGGATGTTAATAAACAGAATCTCCCCTCAAAACTAAATAAAAATATAAGTCACTATTTTAAGTACCCAGTTCCTTAGATCATGGCTAGAGGGCACCGCACTACTGAAACATTCTAATCCTCCCTAGCACTGGTTTATAAATAGCATGTGGGTCAGAAGGAAATAACCAAAGTCAGGAAATGCAGTTCTTGGGCTTTCCTTCTTAAGCTCTCACTTCTGTGCCTGTGTAAGGAAAGGGCACAAAGAAAACTTGCAAAGTTCAAGTTATGATTTGAATGTCAATTTTAGATGGCATTTTCACATCTATCAAATCAATCACAACATTCTCATTAAGACAATCCAAAGGCACTAAAAATATTTTTTTCTTTTCTTCAGCTCTTATAGCAATCATATATGTCACACAAAACACTAAAACTCAAAACATAAGATAGCTATTAATTCAGGTGGCAAGCTTTTGAAGGTCTTAATGAAAGTTTCTCCATGGGTGCAAAATCTACTACAAACAAAATCTCAATAGACACTATATTTAACACAAAAATTCAGTAATTAATTGATGTGTTAATGAATTTTTAGAGACATGGTATAATCCCAACAATGCAGCAAAATGACAATTCTAATTCACTTCCATTTCGTGTGGTTTCAATTATCCCCTCTGATACAAATTTCTCAGGATTGAAATGTGATGGGAACTAAACCTAAGAAAACATGGGCATGGGAGTCCAGGAAAGGAGATGAACACACACAAGTGAACATAATCTACATCCCTTCACAGTCTAAGAAACTCCCTCCATGAGCCCACAGCTACATAGGTGTACCCTGGGCACAAACAATCCCTAAGGGTCAGAGGGTCATTAGAAGGGTGGCAGCCTCCCAGCACTCAGGGCTGGTGTGCCAAAGCCCTCAATTTGCCAAGGGAACACCAACTAAGCTTTCATATTATACAACAGGTTCTAAACAAAATACAAATCCTTGGTATTAAGTTATACAGATTTTTAGTCACAGAGTGCATCACTCTAAAACAGTATTTGGGTGTTAAGTCACTTGTTTAATGTAAGAACTACAAGATTCAGAGAATGTAAACTCTGGATCTGAAATCTACATCACTAAAAAGGCTCAAATAATCAGAATCCTGTAGCAGAAAAGCTCTTGATTCCAGGGTTGCTCTCCTGCTTTGGTTTCTGTTTTGAATGGCTCCATGTAGCAGAGGGAAGGGAGAGCCAGCCCGGGCCCCAACACCTCTCAAAAGGCACCAATGTGTGTCCTGCAACATGGACAGCTTGAAACTCTGGCCCTGCCTCTGAAGCATCTGAGCCACATGCACACACATTCACAGAAACGCATGTTCTCATTTGTTCAATATTTTGAATAAGCACATGGTACGCCAGTTTTAAGACTATATAACATAATAGTACATTGATTTAGTTGTCCCATGGTTCTAGGAAGTCCAGAGGCTTGTACATGTGTGTGTCTGGCAAAGCTAAAACCTCCCAGTTAGGTTTCAGTGTTTCTGCATAAAGAACATGGCAAAAAAAAAAAAAAAAAGAAGAAGAAGAAGAAGAAGAAGAACAACAACAACAACAACAACATGGCCATCTGATGCACTGGTAACAGTACTGAGGAAGATGGTGGTGTTGCAGGTGTGAAGCAGATTCAGCCATGACTAAGAGCTGGGCAAGTTACTCAGCCTCCCTGTCTGCACGTCACCTCCCTGTCTGCCACAGAGATGACAGGGTCATATGAGGAGCAGATGAGTTAATATTCATTAAGGGTGCTAGCAGTGCCAGCACAAGGGAAGCATTCTAACAGTACCTGTAAAATAAAAAGTATACTAAACATGTAAAAAAAGTGATAGGAATACTTTTTATGCTAATGTCTGTTTTACATATGAGAAGTATACAGAACAAAATACACCTAGGATAGTATCTGACTGGAAAAGGACAGGTGCACTGGCTTAGACAGACAGTAGTCTTGGTGAATGTCAACCATGAATGGCTTGGACAGGGAGCAGAGAACAGTCCAATTAATGAGAAGTCCAATGATGGATTTTAAGGAAATAAATGCTCTAAACTATTATTCAAAATATTTTAAGAAAATAAAAGTTTCTATCTTTGAAATTGTGTATATTTTACAAATTAAGTAATAAATATGTGGAATAAAACTTTAGAACTGAGTGAACGTCATTGAGTCCACCTATTCATGTGATGCCTACGGTATAAAATAACCTATTATTTACACCCAGATCCATTAACACACAATTGTTGGACTGTACATTTAAGACGCTTTCATGGAGGAATTATCATGTGTCCCAAATACCGAGATTATCCCTTCCTGTAATTCCAATTAGATGTCTGTCAGATACAAAGACATGTAGATACACACACAACCACACATACACACAACCGCACACACATATGCAATCCAAGTGCAGGACAAAGAGAAATGAGGGTACAGGGATAAGACTTGTCACTGGACCCTCCAAATGACCAGAAATCCTTCTCCCAACTACTTGAACCCCCTGCCTTCTCAGATCACTCTGACCTTCCATGGGCAGCAAGCATCGCAGAGAACCCATAGACCATCAGGTAGCAACCACTCGCCTTACTGCTGCTTCCTCCTTGTCAAAGGAACGTACCTGGAGTACTGCTTCCCTCACCTCCAGGGGAAGATCTAACATTCTCCAGGCCAGGGCTAGTAAATGACTCCGCTTCTTCACATTTTCTAGAAGTCGGCTCACCCTTCACATGCAATACACCCATTCACAGAGAACTCCAAGCTACTGTGATGAGTCCTTTCCATCCCTAGCTCTCTCCTATTTCCCTCTATCTCTCTGACTACTCAGTCCCTGTTTGTGGACTGAACTTCTCAGTACTCCCTGGAAGGTGACAGTCTTTTCTTCTCCCTGTGTGCAGTCCTCCTGGGGACCCATTAGCTCAACATCCTTCTGCTCTCCTTTGAATCTCAAATCTCTCCTCTTTGGCCCCACCTCTCTTCCAAGCTCTCCACCTAAATGTTCCTCATAGGCACCTCAAACGACACACTAATCTCTTCTTCCATTCAATTATAATGGCTTAAAACAAAAAAAATCCACAAAATATTCTTGAATATTGTGTCTTTCCTTTGCTCTCCTTGCATCAGGCACTATTGAACCTACCTGCTAAACACATTTCAAAAGTATTTTCCTCTACATCCCTCCAGCCACTAACTGGTAAATGAATGGCCTCCATCACTTCTCACTGTATTACTATAAAAGCCTAGGCTCATTCCTCTCCAAACCAGTCTTCCTCTGATGCTGTGATCTTCTTACAAAGCCAATCAAATTACCCCCCACCTCCACCCCGCTTAAATGATTCAGAGGTTCTCCACTGCAGGACCAGGACACTCATCAGCTCTTCATCTCCCCAGGTCACCACTCCCTTCTTCCTTCCACATACACTACACTTTGACATAATTAAATGCTGACATGATGCCAATAACAAATTTTATTTAACGGTCACCAAATAAAAGCCAACAGCATTCTGGATATTTTATATGTGTTCACTTACAGCTCACAAAACCCTCCAGAATTCTCATTTTGCAGATAAATCAAGGAGGTCAGAGAAATTAAGTACTATTTCTGAGGTCAAATCTAAGACACCAGAGTTCACATTTGTGAACACATTTGTCTGACTCCAAAGTTCATGCCTTCCTACTAACAGCAAGAAGGAGAGTGCCATGTATTAACAACCTGACAAACAGGAGCTCCTGGCCCTCGCCATTGGACAGAGAAATAACAATGACATGAGCACAGGACCCAAAGTCCTGGTTCTCTTGTGGTCCTGCTAGGAACCAGATCATGTGAATGAGACACTCCAGTTCAGGTGAAACAAGATTATAGCTGAAGTTTGAAGTAATAAGAG